GTACTAACCATGCTCATGCCCAGGCAAACCACTCCCTGGCTGTTGTACAACTAACCTTTAGCCACAGCTTTGGCATGGGCTTGCTTTATACCCGGCTGACTCCACAGTAGTTAGTGCCAAAAAAGGGGTCAGCTCTTTGGCTTACTCAGGGAAACCTTTAGGTGGAGAAAGGACGATAAGGTTATCTGGGCTCCTCGTAGTACAGTAGACGAGGTCTCAGCCCCTCACCAAATGCTTCATGGACTGAAGCATTTGCAAGCTGCCCCTCTACCTCAGTGAGAAATGGTGAATTTGAAAGACGCAGTCAGGATAAGTGGCCTTAAGAAACCTGTTACTTATCGCCGCTTGTATTGCAGCTGGAAACCGGTTTACTTGCACTCCCTAGGTTCTGCTTCACTTACAGTTTGTACCCTAGCGCTACACTGCAACTGCTATACCTGCTGGGGGATTAAATCCTAATCAAACTGGGCTGAAAGTGAAACAATATTAAGATATCGCAACCTGCATTGGAGGCTGAAGTGCTTGGCTCGGTCTCTTAAAACCACCCTGGTAACACCTGAAAGAAGTAATTAGCAGATTGCTCTTTTGGCTAACAGTGATCCTTGAATCTTCCCTGCAGGGACAAGAGTGTACAGCCCCCCAGAGTGGATCCGCTATCACAGATACCATGGCAGGTCGGCAGCTGTCTGGTCTCTGGGGGTCCTGCTCTATGACATGGTCTGTGGGGATATCCCTTTTGAACATGACGAGGAGATCATTAGGGGCCAGGTCTACTTCCGACAGAGGGTCTCTTCAGGTGAGCACGCTCTTCTTGCCTCACGGCTCCGAACCTGAATGCAGCGCTGGCAAAGGGAGAATGCCAGAGAGGTGCCTTCCCATCCTTTCATGCGACCAGTCAGACGTGCAAGTCTATGGTCTGCTGGTCCCTTTTTGCCTTAAGCTCCATGGCTCAATGAGCTGTTCGGAGTTATTGAATCCCAGCAAAGTGCTTGGGGTCCCGCTGTTTCTCTGCCTTAGATGGCTGCTTCAGAGCTCACTGCTGTAGTTCATTTCGACACTTGACTCTTGGTGGGGTCTTTAATGTGGCTGCTGCAGCTGGCAGCGGGAGCAGGCTTACAGAATCCTGAACTGAACAGCTCACTGCGGGGGAGGGAAAGGTGATTGGTTTTGCTGTTAGCCTGCCTGTGAATGACAGGAGGGTGGGTTGCTCACAGCTTTGCTTTGCAACTGTGCTTCCTTGTGTATCTTCAGTCTCCTTCCAAAGATGGGAGGCGGTTCACATACCAGGTAGGGGAGTCACACAAACCACACCTAGCCACAGCCATGGTAATCTGTCCTGTGAAGCAAGGTGGGCAGGTCCCAAAGCAGACTTGCAGTGGGTAAATAGGGAGGCTTGTCGACTTTAGACCCTGCTCAGCAACACTGACTGATTCACCAACTGCTCCTCTCTCTCCCCAGAGTGCCAGCATCTCGTTAAATGGTGCCTGGCCTTGAGGCCGTCTGACAGGCCGTCTTTTGAAGACATTCTAAATCATTCTTGGATGCAAGACGTCCTCTTGCCACAGAAAACAGCAGAGATCCACCTGCACAGTCTCATTCGGGAGTCTGGCAAATAGCAGCTCCTCTCATCCCTTGTGTAAGACAACTCTCACCAGTGACTGTCTGCCTGTTGCATGGGAACATTCATCTCTCACCCAGAGCTCAGCTACCTGGAGAATCTTCTGAGAGGCTGGAGGTTGTCATCCATCCCAGGCAGACTGGCCTTGGATGCATTTGGTCCTGCTTTACTTGATGTCTCGCCAGTAGACTTCTTGGATGTCTTCTGGGCACATCCATTAGAGTCCTTGACCCGCTGAGTCCTGGAATATGAACTGAGCAAGGACCAGAGAATTAGCAAGAAGGTTTTGCTTGGGAAGACTGGCTGTGGAGGGGGAGGGGAGGTACTGATTGGAATGGCTGTCTTGTCACTGTGTCACCGTGTCCGGAGTGCCTTCAGTTGCCATCAGGGCTGTGCTGGGGGAAATACTTGAATCTTCCTATGCCGCTGCTTCTCCAAGATTCACCTGGGTTTATTTTATCCCCCTTCTTAAGGAACAGGTCAGGCAGCCATGGGTGATGCTGACACACCCAGGCTAGTTGTTTCTGAGGTATGCTGTCTAGCTGGAACTTTCCTTCCTTGGCTCTCTGCTTTGAGCCTTGGAAGCTGAGGCGTCCTCACAGATGCACAAACAATGCAACCCCATAGAGCTGTAAATGTGTACAGAATTATACAGGAATGAAGCTCGGTGTACAGAGGATTGTAGTACAGTTTTTACTTTTTTGTTTGGTTTTTAACTTATTTTCAGGGTTTTTTGTTGTTTTTTTTTTTTTTTTTAAAGGAAAATCTGTAGCCTGTAGGATAACTTATTTATTTATTTATGAATCCTATGGGTTCCACGCCCATGCCTGGCTTCCACAGCTGCAGATCTGGTTTCCAGTTGGGGGTACCCCCAGACTGCACTGCCTGCTTAGAATGTTCTGTGTGGAGTGGCCGACTGCTCCCTGCTGTCTAGTTCCACACATGCCGGGTATTTGGCTGGGGTGGGGGCCGCCATGTGTGCATGTGTATATAGCATGGGTCTAGCCACGCTGTCAGGGAGGGGACCCTGCACTTCAGCACTGTCAAGCCTGTAGATGTAATCAGTGTGTAGTCTGCTGGTTTTGTTAATAGTTAATATTGTACAGGGGAGTTCAGAAATCCTATTTTTTTTATACCTGCAGTTTTAAATAAAAATGAATCACTTGCTTTACCCTGAAACCTCTTCTCTTTTGGGTGCAGTAAAGCTACCACTCTCCTAGTGTAGAGAAGTGGTGCTGTCAGACTCAGGACCCTTCCGAATGTGGCCAAAGCCAGCGGCTGGCGGGGCAGGAGAGGAGTAAGCTACCGCTAGAGCTAGCACCCCCAGCCACAAAGCTCACATCCATGTGTCTTCAAGGCTGAGTTACTCGGGCAGCATTTCGGTTCAACCCATTAAAGGGGCTGGCTGTTAGTGATGGATCTGAACTTCTGGGCTATCCATGTCGAGCGCCCTGGTTCTGGCCAGCTCTGGGAGCCCTCTTCACTGAACTGAGATCGGTGGCATACGACAGAGGCCTAGAGCATCTCGTCCCCTTGATATGATACAGTTTCCATTTGTGCCTCACGTGGGGTGTGGCTAAGCAGGCAAACACCAGAGCTGTGCTGATAATGGATGCTGATCATCTGCGTCAGGGCTCATTGTGTTTCAGTAGCAGACCATGTGTGGCGGGCTCTGGAGGCCCTACTACACATCTGGGAGGCTGATTAAAGAGAGAATGGAGGACTCAGCAGTCAGGGACGCTCATGGATATGGCCCTAAATTCAGTGGCTTTGAGCCAGGATGGGCAGGGCTGGTGTTTCTGGCTGCACTTTGCCAGAGGCTGGGAATGGGTGACAGGGAGGGATCACTTAGGGAGTGAACAGAACAGGGAATCCCCGTGGGGTACCTGGGATTGGTCACTGGAACAGGGCAGTTTGCTCACGGCGCTGGTGTGCAAGCGTGTGCGGGCTGAGCCAACTGGCCTGTAGCAGCGCTGTGATTGGCTGAAGGTCAGCGCCTGGCTCTCGCAGTCTGTGCTATGCAGTCAACATCCATCTCCCTGCATGAGCCCTGGCTTTACGTGTCCCCCTTTAGTAACACCGGGAGGGAAACAACGATGTGGACAGAAAGGAGTCACCTGGCAACCCTGCGTGTGAGCAACGGTAAATGGGATGTCTCACGGGCCACGCGTAGAATCCCACACACCTCACCGTGCCACCACTGCTCTAGGCTTTCCATTCCTTCACTGCCCCATGCTCACTGCGCCTTCGGCCGGGTCACTTCCTGCTCTGGTTCCCCATCTGCAGAGCCCTCTTTGCACAGCCCTTTAGAAGAAAGGGTTAGCTTGTTTTTCAGACACCTCCCGTTGGTTGGTGGGTGGGCTGAACAAGAGAGCTCAGCTCCCTGTCTTCAAAGGCTGGGGGCTACTTAGCTGTGTGGTTGTCGTTTAACCTCAGGCTCTTGTGCTAACCCAAAACACTCTTTAGCACTCCCTGTTTTGAGGAAGTCCATCTCACACATTCAGAGCAGCAGCCACCTCTCTGGCGTGACACAGAGCTGTGTGCAGCTCCGGCCCTGCAGCCAACGGCTCTCTGCTGCAGGCAGGTGCTCTCTCCTTCCCGTAAGCACTGCTCAACTGCTAACTTCACTTCTTAGAAACCTCGCCACAGCCAGGCCAAGTGAGGTCAGAGCGTAAAGCCCTGCAGGGACCAATGCCTCCTCGCTTTGCTCCTCACAGCTCAGTGGGGGGCAGTGCAGCAGTACGGGCAAGCCAGCCGCAGGCACGGAGTACCAAGGAGCGCCTGCAGGGTTCCCTGTAAGCTGTGTGCTGGTGCCGTCTGCAGCAGACAGTCGGATACTGCCCAGCAGAATGCCTGCAGCTAGGTTTGTATTTCTACTGGTGGGGCACATTCGCGCAGGCCTTCATGCATCCATGGATGGAAAAGACTGGAGGGAACATTGGAGCACCTGGTCTAATTCAGCCCTTTGTCAGGTCGGCATAATGCTCGTTGAGGTCAAAGATCCTAGGTCAGGAAAACATTTGAATGTGTGCTGAAGCCCCAGGAGTCAATGGCACCGGTGTGGGTGTGTTTACACGGCCGCTGGGAGTGCCCTGGAAAATAACAGGGTGGAGCTCTTGGTCCTGGGGGGAGGCTGCACGAGCCGTACGATCTCAGGCCCACCCAGCAGAATGGACTTGAGCTTAAGTGTTAGCCCCAGCCTCCGCCGGTGCCAGTCCTGCCCCCACGTGCACTGGGATGGATTTTCTGGAAGCTGGGCTCTTCTTTGCTGGATCTCAAATCTTGGTCAGGCAGCTAGGAGGAGGAATGTCAATAGCCCAGACTGGCAACAAAATGTACCGGTGCCATCTGTGCACTCCTGGGCTACGCAGGCCCAGAGCTTCCCAGGCGAGGCTACTCCACAAGGCCAGGGTGGCTGCAGTCCAGGCTCGCCCCAGGAGTGCAGCTGCCCTGCGGCGCCTGTGCTCTCCTGCAGGAGGTGCTGCTTCAAAGCCAGCGCTTGCTGGGCGTGAGGGAAGAGTTCTGGCCACCCACGTGAGGAGCTGGTGCAGTGCGTGGGTAGCGTTTGTTTGCTCTTTCGAGGCAACCATGTCAGGTGGATGCCAAGGTCTGTGCTGCTGAGCCTGCTGGAGACCTTGACTGGCAGAAAGTCCACTGGGGGCGGGGCCAAGCAGGCAAAAACAGCCACTGCAGACAGGGAGTGAGCCCGGGAGTGTAGTGTCATCCGCAGGGCTGGCTGAGGACAGGCTGCTTGAACCCATCCTCCCAGCAGCCTCTGCTACCAGGCTCTTCTATTACCCTCATCACAGCCACCCGAGCCAGGCTCCTAAATTAGTGAGGCCTTGCAACACTGAGCACTGTAATGCCTACATACCTTTCAAAATCTGGGCTTTCGCACTTACCACCAGGCTTTTCAGCCATTGATCTTCAAAGGCCTTGTGAATGTACTGTATGGCAATAGCTTTCTCTCCATTTTACAGATGGGAAAGTAGAGCTATGGGAGGGTGACATGACTTGCCCATGGTCATTTGGAGACGCAGTGGCAGAGCTGGGGCAAGGCCCAGTCCTGC